TCCGGCGGGGTCTGCGGTCCATGTGCATGCGCTTCCTGAGTAGTTCCGCCTGCACGAGCTCCGGAATCCTGTCTCCCCTTAGACGTAGCGATTTTGACTCTCCCACTGTCTTGTTTCTCATTTCTCTCCATGTGCTTCAGGTTGCCCTTCACGAAGGGCCACTTCCCGAAGATGGCTGAGTGTGCACATTTCCACTACGAGAATGTTGAGTTCGGCAGCATACAGGTACATTTGAGATGTTTCCTACGTCCTGAACCGACGCCTGTGTCGGGGCAGGTGGCACTCGGAAGTAGTTTTCCCATCGCTGTCTCACTGGTTGAGGTGAAAACTTCTGTCCTCGTCCGTGGACTAAGACTTGATGCCAAGCAGACCTAACATGCTAACATGTGTCAATCGAGGACAGTCAGCCCTGCCCCCTCCTTTGTCAGGAATCCCGTCCATGTTATTTTCTAATTTATTTACTTTGCTGGTGATTTTGAAGGCTTTATGCAGCGGCTTTCTATTCTGATACAATGTAACCTCACCATCTGCCCGTGGCTTACCTCATTACTAAGAGCTGGCTTTTTGGTAGACCAAAGTGTTGCCACTCGATCCTTCTTTATTCGGAATATCTTGGACACGGTTGGCCTTGGCATCTGCCCCTTAATGATAGAATCTAACTGCTGGTCTCAAGCTACAGTAAATGTTTTGCTCTTACCATAAGCTATTGGCAGCTTTATGTGAAAAAATGATGAAAAAAACTTAAAATAGCCAACTTGTGCTTATTTGAAAAATTGTATTTCCTAAGAGGAACAAAAGTCATTCCTTATGTTCGCTTTGCAAAAATGGGCTAATAGAAAAGTCTTTATCTCTGCACGTAACAGAACCATCTGCCCCTCTGCCGGTCGCCCTAACTCCACCTTCTCGCCAACAGAACCCTCATGAGACATGACATCACTGTGCCCCGTGTGCTGCTTTCGTAATCTCATTTCACAAACAAGTTTGATATGTTTGAGGGAAAGGATTTATGAAAGCAAAAGACATTTTTATTTCAGATAATCGACAGTTTACAAAGCATTAGTATCATGACATCAAAGAATATTTTATTTCTTCAGCGTGTATGTCCTTGAGTCTGCATTTATTTTTGCTTTTCTGAAGAATGATTTGTTTAATTATATTTATTGCTATTATTTTTTAATTTGTTATAAGGCATGTGCACTCACCAGAGAGAGAGAGAGAGAGAGAGGGAAAGTGAGAAAGCAAGCTACCAGGTCTGGGACTTGAACTGCAGTTGGCCATGTGGGAGTCCAGCGCCTGCTGGCCTGAGTCTGCATTTGTAATGATACACTTGTTAGGGCAGGAAGAATTGGTTAAGAAACGCTAATGTGGGTCAGCATGGTGGTTAAGGCAGCTAAATCCCACATAGCCAAGTGCACAGTTCAAGGCCCAGACCCAGTGGCTTGAAGAATACATCGAGTGTGTGTGCGTATATGTCCAGAATCCCAACAGAAGGGAGAAGTGGAGGAGGGAATGTGGCATGGCCGTCGTCTGCAGGGTGCTTTCTCACTCTCTCTCTCTCTCTCTCCTTCTCCCTGGTTAGTGCATGTACCCTATGGCAAAAGTGAAAAAACAAAACCAGAAAACAACAACAACAACTAAACTTGTAATGAATACAGTTTTCATTTTGTAGCGGTTAAGTACTGTGACATCTATTCGAGTGACTTAGTTTGGCACAGCCTGCAATCCAGGTAAACGGTTTCCTAGTTAATTTACTTTGTCTTTTCTATACGATTGAGCTCTTCAGGAGATAGTAAACGTGGCACGGAGTTCTAGGGAGCATTATGAAGAGAGTCAGGAGTCGGGAGTGAGGAGTGTTACAGCGCTGACACTGCGTGGTAGGTTGGGAACGCGCTAATGAATCGGATTAAAATAAAAGCAGGACTGTTCATGGCAAGCACTGGGTAATGGGCTGACAAGGCACTGGCCTTCGCAAATGGAATTTGAGGTTTCCTTCTGGTTCTCAGAAGTTTGTGACCTTGGGCTAGTAACTTAGCCTCCTTGGGTTCCTTCTCCCTTATCTGTGAGTTCACACAAACTATCATAGCTTGAAACTTTCACTGTTTTATGTTTAAGGAGTTTATAAGGATGCATCGAGGCTGTGGGCAGGGAGAGGCAGCAGTTCCTCAGCTGGGTGTGGCTCTCCCCTCAGGTTTTTGTTAAATGCTCATTATGGGGGCTCAGTCCTCTCACCCGGAGGACCACGCCTGCTCCTTACGGGGCAGTGTGCTGGGGAGACGTTCTCCCCACGAGCAGAGACTTCACTGCGTTCATTCAGCCTGTAAACACTCCCACTGCTTCGGACAGGGAGGGAGGGCGACAGTGTGCCAGCTCGGTCTTGGACTGTCTACAGGTGAGGCTCACAGTGAGGCTTTTCAGGACCGTGTGACTGACCAGGAGACTTCTGGAGGATTGGGTAGGGGTGGTTCAGAGGCCCAGCCCAGCTGCGCCTTCGCTGTTTGTCCCAGAGTCTCTGTTCTGGGTCTGCGGGCTGGTGTCCTCCTCCCGCCGACTCCCGTCTGCAGCCTGTGCTGCCCTCAGTGTTTCTGGAGACTGGCCTCTTCATGCCACATCTTCTGGCTTCCTGGCCTTCGCCAGCTCCCGGGTTCACTGGGTCTGGTACCTCTGCGGGAAGCACCTGTGTCCGTGAGCTAAGCCGTGCGGTGGGAGGACTGTGAGGCCAACCCGGCCTCACTTCAGCGTTACCTTCTGGACTTGCACGGCTACTGCTCGGTTTAACACGTTATGGGCCGATTGATTGCCAGGTACGGAAAAGGCAAACCAGTGACATCGACCTGCTAACAACCCCGTGTTCTGTCTACTGCAGGCAGTTAGAGTACATTTTGTATGCCATAGTGACATCAACCTCCTAACAACCCTGCGCTCTGTCTACCGCAGGGTTAGAGTACGTTTTGTATGTCATGGTGACATTGACCTGCTAACAACCCTGCGTTCTGTCTACTGCAGGCAGTTAGAGTACGTTTTGTATGTCATAGTTCATACTCTCTCATTTTATAAATATCTTGCTTTAAGCAATAGACAAATCCCTCCACGTGTATTCCAAACATGTTCATGGAAAATGAACCCCATATACTTCACTAATTTCCCGTAGAGTTAGAAATGTGTTCTGAGAGCGTGTGCGAGGACTCAGTACCGTATTCTACGGAGACTCTTACTTCTCACTGTCAGAGGGCGTGTGTGCTTGCCTGGGGGGTGGGGGGAGCGGGAAAGGAAGAAAGGCAGAGATAAAGGCAGAGATAAAGGAGAGAGGCAGAGAAGGAGAGGGAGAGAGGGAGCAGCCCCAGCCACAAGCCTTTCTCCTCCATCTCCCTGTCCTGTCAGGACCCTGGGCACGCATGCATACCTGACTGGCACGTTCCTCATGCTGCTGGAGCCAGGTCTTGAACCGTGGTCAGCTGTGTGGGATTCAGCTCTCTACACACAGTGCTTAAGCTGTGAGCTGTAGGGCCGGCCTGGGGCAGATCTGCCGTACACCGGCAGGTTGGCCGTGTTGGTAGCTGGCCAGCTGGATTGGCTGGATTGTCCCTGTTGTGTGACATTCCATAGTCATCGGTGCTCCTTTTTACGATGGCTCTAGGAGTTTCTCACGGACTTGGAGAATTACAGTCCCTAACACTGCAGCTTCTCCTCAGCTCCTGAAAGCTTATGCTTGCGTTGGCCATCATAAACCGGTAGGACAGAAGAGGCCCATGTCACTTAAACATTTAAAATCCGGACAAAACAATCTTTCATTTCAGGGCTTTTAAATGAAAGTAGCTGGCCTTGAGTGGCTATGTTAGAAGTCTGGCATCCTCTTCGTTTAGACTGAGAGACACAGTTGCTGTGACGTCACTGAGATAGGAGTAATGGGGGCCCGTGGTCGTTACCCCGTCATGTGCCAAGGATGCTCGGTCTTTCTGTGCAGCCTGGCCATCTCCGGGTTCCTCACGTCCCCACGGGCTGTGGGAGCCTGACAGCATCTCCGACCGACCGCGCCTCCTGTGGCTCCCTGTCCTGGCAAATAGTGACTCCATTCCTTAGTCCCTGAGGCCAGCCGAGCCCTCACATGAGGCAGATTTCTTAGCTCTGACTTTAACCTAAATCCAAGATCTGACCATGCCTACCTGCTCCTCTGCTGTCACCTTAGCGGGGGGCCTGTGTCATTTGGGGAGGATTATTTAAAAGCCCGCTACGATGGCACAGCAGGAAGAATGCTCTTCGGGGAGAGTGCACAGTAAGTCAGATCATGCCACTTTCCCAAAACCCTCCCATCACTTCGCATCTTATTCAGAGCAAAAGCCAAGGGTTCACAAATCGTACCCGTACCTCTGCCCTTGTCTCCTCTCAGAGTGCTCCAGCCTCGCCGTGCTCCCTGCTCCTCCTGTAGCGGCCTCACCCCTCCTCCGGCCTCTGTGCGTCCTGCCCCTCTCCTCAGGAAGTTTTTCCGGGTGTCTGTGCTCCTTGCTGCCCTCACCTCTTCGAAAGCACTTGCTCCGATGCTGTGTTCGCAGAGGGCCTTCCCCGCAGGGCAGCAGCATTCTCCTCCCCACAGGTGCTTCCCGTCTGGGACGCTCAGCACGTTTGGGAGACCAGATATTTAGTGTTCTTGTCCGCCTTGCCCCCTCCTTAGCGTCCAGCACAGTGCCTGACACCTGGCCATCACCCAGTGATGGCCGAGTGAATGGGTGCTGAGTTTGTGTTCGAAGATGAGATAGAGTTGGCTTTAGAAATCTTACCTGTTTTTTATTTATCAATTAAATTTTGTTCTTGTAGGATAAGAATATACCTCCCTTATATTATGAATTTTATTAAATTATAGAACATCAGAAGGAGGATAAAAAGTGCTAATGCAGGTTAAAATCACTCCAGGCTACTAATTAGGCGTCTGTTTCGAAGTTTTCATGTTTTGTAAAATGTGTAGCAGAGTCTCTAAATACAGGTCTAGCAATAACTAGCTAGCTATGTGCTTTTAAAATCTGGGTGGGGTTGGACCTTACAGCTTCCTTTTTACTTGAAAGTGTTTCTTGGATATATTTTGTCATTTCAGTAAGTTGGAATTACCTCCTTTTCTTAGCTACACAATATTTCATTTTTAAATTATGCCGTGATTTGTTTAATCAGTTCCCTTGACAGCTCTTCCAGGTTTTAATGTCATGCCTATACCCATTAAATAAAATCCTATGAAAGGA